CTCTCTCTCTCTCTCTCTCTCTGACAATCCATGGGAATGAAATCAAGAGTGTCCGAGAGGCGAAATATTACCCCACGCCTCATCCCGCACCGCACCCCATGGGAATTCAATCAAGAGTGTGCGAGAGTCCTAGTTAGTGCTCCCGACTTAAAAACAAGACATTGCATATGATGACGTAAACCTGCCAATGCATCATTGGTCTAATTCTGCTGGCTGCGTTCACCCCATGTAATCCGCTTTGCTTTCTGGTTGGTGACATGCATACACACGGTACATACCCAGACAGTAGATAGATGCAACCCTCCTTACATGGGGAGGTGGAATAGTTTTTTGTTGAAAAACGTACCTGTAGTAGGCTCGTGCGTTGCAACCATTGGCCCGTTTACTACACAGCAGTATTACAATATATTGATTGAGGTGCGGGGGGCGCCAATCAATGTGATGGACTCCAAAAAAAAAAAATGTCTTGGAAAAAAACGACACCTCCTCACGGACTCGAACCCATGATTTCCAGAGTCAGGGTGGCCTTCATCGAGTGCACGAAATGAATTGGCTTTCTTACTACAACGTCGTTGCCAAGCGACGAAAACCCAATCCCGATGGCAAACACCGAGGGGGGGGCTTGTTTTGCAACTTCGTTGCCAAGCGACGAAAACACTATCCCGATGGAAAAACACCGGGGGGGAGGGAGGTGTACTCCGGGGGGGAGGCAGGGGTGTGGTACATTAAAAACTAGGGCTAGCAGCTACTAGATCGGGAGGTGGAATAGTTTTTGTTGAAAAACGTACCTGCAGTAGACTTGTGCGTTGCTACCATTGGCCCGTTTACTACACAGCAGTATTACAATATATTGATTGAGGTGCGGGGGGCGCCAATCAATGTGATGGACTCCAAAAAAAAAAAATGTCTTGGAAAAGAAAACAACACCTCCACACGGACTCGAACCCATGATTTTGCGAGTCAGGGTGGCCTTCCCCGAGTTCACGCAGTGAATTGGCTTGTTTACGACGTCGTTGCCAAGCGACGAAAACCCAATCCCGAT